GTATGGGCCCATCAAAATTTTTGGCGGAAAAATCACTAACTCGAGAACTAGAAAAGCTGCAAGGCTGAAATTTTAGGGGAATGTTCCCTGTATAAGTATCACGTAGTTGCACAATTAATTTTCTGAAATTTGAGGATCAGTATGTCAAAAATTCTAGCTACTGGGATTCCAAGCGATCTTATTACAGCACGATACTGCAAAAAATGCATGATCACACAGGCTTGCTTGGTGCGCGTCGCCAATGATTTTCCATAAGTTCAGATTTGTTTTAATTTACTTTTTATGCGTTTTGTGCTGTGTAGCAGCAGCTGTGTTTCCGCAGCAACTTGACCGCAACTTTCAACTCGGGGACCACAAAGCTAGGAAGCTGAAAATTTAGGGGAACGTTCCCCACCCACGTGTGACCCCACAAATTTAATTTCAGCTTCCTCGTATCCGCGGGTAACGCGTACGGCCCCGTGAAAGTTTTCTACGGGCAAGTTAATATCTCGGGAACCACGGAGTCTAGGAGACGGAAGTTTTAGGGTAATGACCCTCTGCCCACGCTCAACCTCGCCCATTCAAGTTCAGTTCCCTTACCCGCGGGTAACACGTACGGCCCGTGAAAGTTTTTCACGGGTAAGTTAATATGTCGGGAACCACAGAATTTAGAAGGCTGAAATTTTAGGGAAGTGACCCCCTGCCCACGCTCAACCTTGCCTATTCAGATTTAGTGTTCTCGCGCTTTCGGGCACCACCTACGGCCTCGTGAAAACTTTGGCGGGTAAATCATTAACTCGGGAATCACGGAAAGATATTCACCATTCAGCTTTCATGCGCTGGTGCGTGAAATTTTTAACTGTTTTCCAATGTTTGAACTATTTTTGCATATTTAGCTTTCATACGCTGGTGCGTGAAATTTTTAACTGTTTTCCAATGTTTGAACTATTTTTGCATAGACAAGGTACAAGAGTGCGTGAAATTTTTAACTGTTTTCCAATGTTTGAACTATTTTTGCATAGACTAAAGAACAAAGCACTGGTGTGTGAAATTTTTAACTATTTTCCAATGTTTGAACTATTTTTGCATAGACTAAAGTACAAAGCACGAAAATCATTAATAAGCAATCGTTCGATGGGCTGAATTGCACAAAAAGCATGATCGCACCGGCTAGTCTGGTGCGCGTTGCTATTTATCTTTATAATGTTGCGCTATCTCTTCCTCTTTACTATCTCTCCAGTTCTTGCCTTGAACTCCTTACTAGTACCATTACTTTCTCCCTCGATCCTGTGCTCAAATCTCGCCTCCAGACCGGCTTCTGAACACCCATCACCCACTACTCCCCAATCACTGTCATCATTTCTAGCCTCGAACTCCTGAGCACCTTGTTCCCTCCTTTTTATCCTGTGCTCAACCCCTCCGCCCGCTCACCGCCGAACCTGTCCCCCAGTAATTACCATCTTCTACCCATTCCCCACCACCTACTCACAATCTCGCCATCCAACTACTACTGAGCATCGGGTAGCGCTACCCAGCGAACGTTGGCACGTTGCCAAGCTGCGTCGGTAGACGTCGCTATGAAATAGCGCTGGCAGAGAGGCTAGGGCGTCTCTCATGTCGCCAATGCCGAGTTTTAGCAATTCCAAAGCAAAGTTGTCAGCAAAAGGCCGATCGGGGAAGCCGTTATTCGGGTTGGAGGGTCGGGTTGCAGCCATTGGGAAGCGATAGAGGGGCGGAGGAAGGGTGGGGAAGAGGGAGAGGGAGGGTTAGGGGCGGCGGTTTGGGTCTCGAGGTCGCAAAGGGGAGGGACGGGCTGGTAACTGGGGGTAGAAATTGATTCGAGTAGGGTTCTAATGAGAGAGGAGGAGGTGCAGGTTTTGGAGCCCGGGAGGGCATGTTGCGCAGCCAAGCCGAAGTGAGTTTTAGTACTTTTAAGCTGGGGTTTTCCCGGATTCGGATTTTAGCTGGGATGCTTCGGGATTGGGATTCTCGACATTTCTCAGTTGCCAGTTCCCGCACTTGGCCAACATTTCACTCTTTTTATTGAGCAATTTGCGTTCATGTTATTCCAAGCCATCTTTTTCGTTCTCTATTTTTGCTGACTTTTTGCTACTCCGTACCTCTTGCTCACAGGGCAGCGCAACTCTGCTTTGCATACTTGGGGCAGCATCCCCCGCATTTGGGGCAACATTCCCCGTAAAAATTTTCGGTGATTTATTTGCTGCGGATAAATCATCACTTATCGGCTTTGGTATGGTGAGGAATTTTTTGAACCGTCGGCAATGATTTGGAGCCAGATTCGAGTAGTTTTTACATAGTATCGATAGTTCTGATCAACGCTGTGTTGTGGTCACTGGTCAGTGCTTGCGTCAAGTTTAGATTATCTGGCGCATTGAAAAGCGCATTTGATACAATTCACCATATTTTTATGCATTTTTTACAGCTATGCAATGCGGAAAACGCATATTGACGAGGGGTTGTCTCTGTGTCCGTGTGCGCGTCTGTGTGTTCGTCTGTACCGATTTTTCATCTCAAGACCTACAACAGGGCTAAAACTTTGGGAGCTTAAATGACATGCACATGCGGGCCCAAATCCCCAAAACGTATATTGACGAGGAGTTGTCTGTGTGCCCGTGTGTGCATTTGTACCAATTTTTCATCTCAAGACCTACAGAAGCTACAGGGCTGAAACTTTGGGAACTTAATCTGCATGCACGTACAGACCCCAATCTCCAAAATGGGCGCCCTTACCCGCGTGGTATCCACGCACGTGCCCGCCAAAGATTTTTACGGGTAGGTTCATAACTCGGGGATCTGAGAAGCTAGAAAGCTAAAATCTTAGAGGGAAGTTCCCCGTCCAAGTGGGTATTAACGAGCTCATATCCACCCTCCGGGTAAGCACGGCCCCGCGTACGGACCCGCCAGAGTATTTTTCAGGTAAGTCGCTAACTCGGGCATCTGAGAAGCTTGAAGACTGGAATTTTGAAGGGATGTTTCCTGACAGTCCTGGCGGCCAGTCTGAAATTCTTTTAGCCAGAAGCATCTGCCGGAAAAACCGGTTTTGTTAGCGAAAAAAATCTGCGGGGCGCTATGCAAAAAACGCATCTTCGCACGGGCAGCCCGTGCGTTGGCCAATTATTGTTGGTTATTTTACTGTATTTGCGATGCTGCATTTCATGCCCTGTTTCTGCTGGCTTTAGGCCCGGTAAATCTTTGTTGACGGCGGCGTTTTGTGTTGAAAGTTGAAGATCATCTCGTCCTTTTACCAGTGGCCTTCTTTTTTTTCAGACGGGTGTTTACAGTGGCGAGCCGAGTGCAATGAATAATACACCGGCGGGCAGTCTGGAGAAGCTCGTGCAGCGCCTCGAAACCGCAACTTTGCGTCTGGAGGCGCTGAGCTCCCAGAAACCGGCGCTTGCACCGAAACCGGCCAGCAGCAGCAGCACGCCGGCCTGCGGCACCACCGGTAAGCTGCTGCTTTTGTATTTCAGAGCACCACCGATTTTTTGATGAACATTCATCCATGACACTCTTTTTTTATGCCGCTACTGATAAGCTGATAGTTGTGGCCCAGAGGAGTAAATCGGGCGCCATCGATGGAACAACCAAATCCCCCAAAGATTTATTTTTTCGCTTCCGACCACAAAAATTGGTATTCGCATATATTGTAATTTTAATTTTAGATGGTGTGTGTTTATGTAATAAAAAGTAAGGGAATAAAAGGGAATGTGAATAAGCTAATCAAATCCGCCACCAGCTTGCTTCTAAATAACCTCCGAGAGAGGAAGCCGTCGATTAACCGTGCCAGCGGTTGCTTGCGCCGTTGACATTTGCTAACTGGCGGTCTACTTACCCGTGTGCTCTTTTCCCTCACTGAGAACGAATACAGAGGTTTTTTGACTACCCGTAAATAGCTTTTGCTGCGTATTTCGTAAAGAAAAAAAGCGGTCTCTGTCATCAGATTATTTTACGCATAAGACAACAAATGAAGCAGATAGCCTAAGCCTAGTCTAGCTGCACTCCAGCTCTGTCCATGGCACACATCCCAAGTAGCACTGTCCATTTTGAGGTGAGTTTTGTGGATGTTCGGACGTTTGAGCTTTTGTGTATGTGTGTGTTTGTGTATGTGTGTGTTTGTGTATGTGTGTGTGTTTGTGTATGTGTGTGTTTGTGTATGTGTGTGTTTGTGTATGTGTGTGTGTGTTTGTGTATGTGTGTGTTTGTGTATGTGTGTGTTTGTGTATGTGTGTGTTTGTGTATGTGTGTTTGTGTATGTGTGTGTTTTTGTATGTGTGTGTTTGTGTATGTGTGTGTTTGTGTATGTGTGTGTTTGTGTATGTGTGTGTTTGTG